ACTGACAGTAATAGTGATGCGGTAAAGCATTGTGATGGTAGAAAATAAGATGGTCAGATAGAACGATTATGATATGTGGTTCTCGTCATTCTTACTTTTTCTTTTGTTCTCACTGATGTATTGTTTTCTACACAACCAGTTGATGTGAATATATGATACTAATTTTAAAAATACAATTAAATAGATTGAGACAGCAAGAAAAGCTCCAACTGGATTTGGTTTTCTAATCCAGATATAAACAACAGGAAATATCAATAACATGATTAAAGTGACTAGTTGTAATAGAATTGATTTTGCTTTCAATTCTAAATAGTAGGTAATTAAAATAAATATATTCACGAGTAAAATTAATGTCAAAGCTGGCCATTGTGTTGGATCTCTTAGAAATTTAACGGGTAAATCTATTTGTACTAATAAACCGTATTTTAGTAAGTTTTCTAGGACAAGACGTCCACTACCCATTGCCAACAAAACATAGACAAGATTTAATAAACCTCGATAATTATTATAACCACTTGACGATGATAATAATGATGATCGAGATGAATGACACGGTAGATCAATATGTTCAGACATTCTCACAGATATGCTTCAAAGTAGTGATTAATCGTTAAAAACGTGTGCTTTGTAAGAAGACAGAAAGAAAGACACGTGAATATACATAAATGTCATTTTATACTATACAGAAGAAGCGAGAAGCAGAATGATAAAAAACAGAAAAAACGAAATTATCGCTAAAAAAAAAGAACGCTGCAGTTGTATAGCTATGAGTATGAGTGTTGTAGTTTCGCAACTCGTTTTATAATTTTATATTAAGTTAAAGAGGATGTCGAGGGCTTATCATTAAAGCCCTCGAGGAAATATCATTAAAGCTTATCTTATCAATACTTGTTGTGACCATAACTACATATTCACTTCTAATTTCTCTGTTCTATACTAATTTGTCCTATAGTCAAAGCTTGATAGCTGCTTGTCTACGAAGAGAAAAGGTGAACGTATATAGATATATGGTCTGTAAGTTCAATTAACAAAGGAAAAAGATATTAATCTCTATTGCCGTTCATTATTAATCAGAATGTCAGATATAATGATCTACTATGGGTTTGTCTTGTCTTAAAAAAATCGACACAGGACGTATTTTACACCTTTGCTCTTCTCCTCTGAGTGTTCTTAGCACTTAAAGGATGAAATAATTAATAAAAATTAATTTATAACTAACTACTTTTAATTGATATTAAACTCTAATTACAATCATTTTATTTAAAGTATTTCCACTGGATGTCTACATTACATCGGGTTTAATATATATAAAAGTCAAAAAGATGAAATAGGAAGATGTCATGTTCAACTCTGATTTTCTGATGTTTCAGAGAGAAAACAACAGTTAAACCTGGAAATTTAGAATGTCTTCTTGTTCGAGTATGAGAAGATATTGGCAAAGATGAAATTCTATATTTTTTCTTTCTGCGATAACGATCTAGCAATTCTCACGATACACTTTATCGCTAAATTAACTTGATATCACCGTGTCTGTGTTAATAAAAAGAGATTGGTATATTATGGACAGTATCATAATGGATGTTTTTTTTATATAAACTTTATTTCTTATATAAACTTTGATTTTTCTTGTTCCAGCGGGGAAAATCCTATCTCTTAACAAGAATTTCATGAGATATCCCGCTGAATTTTCTCTACATAGAAGTTCATTAGGAATCTCAACCAGACAGTGCTATCGAGATATACCGAAGCATCCATCAGTTTTGTAAAATCTTCTGTGCTTATGAGGTGTGGGCAATGGATAATAATGTGTTATATAGAACCAAGGGTTTGAATCAAAAGTTCTAAATCATGGGTTATAGAACAAAATACAGTTTTGGGAGAAGGACCCAGTTTTAATATTTAATCAATAATACAGTTTATTTTCTCTGAATTCAGTTGAATTTATTTACATTCAAATGATGTTACACGATAAAGGGAACAGTAAACAAGCAAGAATAATTTAACTTACATACAGATACTGTAGCCACGGAGAAAACTGTAGGAAGATTACAGTTTTACAGTCGAAAGAATGTTAGTATGTGCTCTCTAAAAAAGAAAAGTACTCTACCGAATCTAAAAAAGGTTTAAACTTTTGTAACCATCTATATACCTTTTTAAGGTTTTCTACAAACTATATACTGTTTTATTTAGCTAAATTCGTGGCTGGGAAAAGCTTGGGAACACTGAGAAAACACTTTTTTTTGTGTTTTTACACAAATTTTTTCCAGTGACGGATTTAGGGTGCTGTATGAAATCTTAAAAAGGTATATAGATGGTGACAAAAGTTTAAACCCTTTTTAGGTTCGGTAGAGTACCTTTTTCTTTTAGAGAGTACAAAGAGAACAAAATAAAAATAGAAGTAAATGAACAAGTATTCAACGTGTTAATAATATTTTACATGATTTTTCAATAGTATTTTAAATATACTAGCACAAGATGTGTCTGAGATCGATGCAAGTAGAGCACTCCAGTGTTACAAGGTAAGAGAATAAAAGCAGAAGAGGACCCTTGAGGATTGTCTGTTTTTTGCAGGATTTTAGGTATTAAAATTAGAGAGTGAAGTTCTATCGTAGGTGATTTTGTGAAAATGTAGGAGTCTATGACAGACTTTCCTATTCTCAAAACGGTAAAGTTTTAGTTTGGCTTTCAAGTTATTAATGTCCGATGCATAGTCTCTCGCAACAACTCGTGCAGTCAGATATTGTGTGGAAAGATGTGTTTTGGAAGAAATATCTTAAAGAACAGATGCATTTCAAGTACTGATCTGATACATGTTCTGTAGAGATGAAGACAAAGGTATATTGGAGCTGTGCCACTCTTGATATTGAACCGAGCATATTATAGTGCCGTATATTGATTGTGTTCTTTCCACATAATATTGTGATCGATGTGAACACAAAGTCGTTTTAAACAAGAAACGACCTCTAACGAAATATTGTTAACTGTGAGATCATATAAGTTTTGACTGGAAGAAATAACGTTAGAAAATATAATCCGTTTACATTTAGCAGCATGCAACTTTACAAGATCCTTTCCATACCAATCTTCTAACTCATTCATACTCTGCTTCATCCCACTTTCGAATATCACAGTATTGTCTTAGAACTGCAGAACACCGTGGCAATTGGTTTTAGTTAATGAAATTGTTTAGTTTCACGTTTCAAACCCAGTTTAATTGATTATCTACTTGGAAGTAGGATCATGAATATGTTTAAGAAGTAATATAACGACGAGCTAATGCAGACGAAGTTTACATTTTCATTATCGTTTAATATAAAATTCATTTTTAGTAAAATATCAGATTAATGGTACATCAACAGTATTTCAGTATTCAGATTACTGACTCTACTATTATATGAAATTAGTTAAATATCACTGTACCTTAAATGATAAAATACATGAAATATTACATAACAAGCTTGTATTTAACGTGAGATTATTTATCTGCTAAATAATTGTTTCACCCTCACCCTCCCTTTCTCATTAGCATATTCTTGTGGAAAAAAACGTTACTCTACCATTCTCATAAACAAAAGGAAGTTGTTATATCTCATAGCTTCCTTTGTTATAAACAGATAATTCTTTTGTTTTTTTCAAGTTTTTTATGATTATTTAACTCATTATATAAAAGAAGAAGAACTGTTATCTTTCATTAGTGACAAAAGAAAAATAGACGAAAAGAAAAGTCTCTTTCTTTTTCTCTCTTGAGTATTTTTTATTTTTAATTTACGAGTTCAAACTAAAGAATCATTAACATTATCTATACAAATTTCCGCTATATCAAAGCTGATCAATAATAAGACATTGCCTGCTTCTATCTTGTCAAATATTTGGTAAGAATATATGATTTATTTTCATCTAAAAATAATTCAAACGCATAAGAATCGAAGTGGCATGTAGTATATGCCCCATCATTGGAATAAAAATTTTTAAGAAAAAAACAGAAAAACATGCTCTTGAATGTCGATAAAGAAATCATATTCTAATCAATATTCAAGGACAGAGCAGTAATAATTCGCTAAGTAAGTCAGATTGTGACAGATCGTAAGAGCAAAGCTAGTTATACATGAAACATGAAAGAATAAGCGGTATCAACTATTTTTTTTAATGACAAATTGTTTTTGTGGTTTGTTGATGTACATCACACGAATTTATAGTGCAAGCCACTCAGATTGGTACTTCCATACCCTAGACAAATGTTCGCTTACCGTTTCACTTATTCCTCATACTAATCATAAACAACTTCTCCTTTGTGCTCAAGCGTCGCTGATAACATTTCTTCCTACTTGCACATAAAATAAATTAAGTGTGAAGAGAATATAGAAATATCTAGAATCTCATTTGAAATTTTAAGAGCGTTGTCTGGCCACAATAGATAAATCTCTTTTACCATGCTCTAGGAGTATTTTATATAAATTTTGGTAACTACTTTGCATGAATTATTCAACTGCCTGCAATAAATAACAGTCAGCGTTATTATGGAAAAATCGTCCCAATTACCTCGTCTCTTATCAAACTATAAAGCTGTATTCGCGTTTCAAACTGTTCAACTCAAAGATTTTCTTTCTATTCGGAAAATTTCTAATATACAATACTAGGTTCTCAAGTACCACATGAAGATGTTAGAGATTGCCAAAAGCTGTGTTCTATTGATAGTAGAATATTTTCGTACTACATTTTTTGTGTATTTTTTCCGTGTGTTAATAAATTTCTTCTCCTACACTATTTTTAAGAAATCATTCATATTTTTATTACCAGTATGTACACTAAATATCGTTTATTACTTTCATAGAAGATCACTACTTGTAGAACGAAGAGGTTAAAGAATGTGGGCCGTAATGTGTTAGTCTTATGATATTAGTCGATTTTTAGTTTGCAGAACTGGCGTGAGAACATTTTCAGGTGATATGATATTTTTCTAATCAAATACAGTTTTCTATAGGAATCATTTCTGATGATGTGTACAAATTACTAGAACTAGCGAACACATTATCAAACAATTATAGTGTATGGTACACGTTTAGGGCTCTTAGTAAAACTGTCATAAATTTTGATTAAACCATTGCTCAAAGTTGGGAAACGTCAAGTTTTAACCAGAAGCGTTTGCTCTAAGAATTATATGATTGAAATCTTTTTTATTCTGGTATTTCGTTGAAATATTAAAATTTCACGAAAACAAGTTTTCTGGGACTCTGTAGGAAACTTCAGAAACACTCAGAAATCTTGCATATTGGTAAAAGAAATGTGGACTCTGAGAGCTGAGTACGAAGTTTTACTCAGTAGTATTCGAATAAACATAGATCATGAGGAACTTGAATCGCTTTTAATGTACTGATACATAAGAATTATGTCTGAGAATCTTGGACAGTAATTTTTTATTAAAAACCGACTATATTTCAGGTGTTTAGTAATAAAATTTTACAGATTAGTCGCGAACATATCTATTGGTAACTTAGTAGTAGATATATTATCAGATAGTATCTTTAGAATTTCTCGACTAAATTGATATGGGTAACCAAGTTCATTCTTCATCGTTGTCTAATGTCTTAATGTGATTGATGATTGAAAAGAATCGAACAATTTGCACCTTAGTCGGTAGGAATCTATAAAAAAAGAGGTGAATATTATTATTTTTTTGAGATCTTTTATTTTGTTTTCAATCGACGCGATGCTGTTTGCTAAACGACTAATGCTTTCGATATTGCACCGAAGAACAATCGGTTATAAATAAATTCACTGTTCATATTTCAGTGAATTTATGTTCGTACGAATAAGTATAATAAGAACGAAGATATACTAAGAAAAAAATATAAAAGTTTTCTAAGTACAAAAGGTCAAGAAGCTAAGAAAAACCAAATCTATAGCGAACATAGCTTGTCCTGCAAGTGAACAAATGCACTATACCATCACGACATACATAAACTTTATTTCAATGTAATTCATTAAACTTTTCATCATGGCAAATGTACGCTCGTTCAATCTAACAGATTGGTTCTTTTTTTCACCCATTTCATCTGTCTTGATTTCTTCATGTTATTATATTTTTGTTTGTATAATGTTTGGAATTTTCTTTATACATTATTACATGTGTTTAACACACTCTCATAAAATATTATGCATTTCTCGTAATTTTCATTTTCAGGACTACCCAAAGAATTTTTTTTTTATACCAAAAGTTTCCTTTGTACAAATTCACATTTAGCACCTTTAATACGTTTGAACACATTTAATTAATAAAAAAAAAATTTAACGCCTTCACATGTCTTAAAAGTTAACGCATTTAGGAGCCTGAATTTCTTCAATTTTTCTAATACATTTTTATAAATTCAACATTTTCAAATACCTTATTACTAACCCATTTAAACTTCTTCAATTTTTTCACACGTTGGAGTCACATCTATTCAGATTAATTTGATGCATTCACACGCCTTAAGAATTGCTGTATTCACATACGTGAAATCGTTTAACTCATTCAAAATGCATTAAAGTTATTTTTCATAAATTTAATACATTCACAGGGTTTAAAAGCTGTCTAACGACTTCACAGGAGTTTAAAATTATTGCATGTGAACACATTAATGTTTTTTAAAAACAAAAATGATGCTAGCGTTTTATAAAGAAGTGTTCTTACATTTTTCTGACAATGCCATCGATTCCTCTCAGAAAGTTAGGTCTAGAGTGATTGCTTCTGCTAAATCAGACATACTGTGAAGGATCTAGAAAATTTTCCAAAAACTGATACTTTCATTTGATATAGTCATCTATGAATACAGTCAAATGCATTAAAATAAAATGTATTTTCATGAATTAAATAATTTCAATGCGTTTGAATATATTAAAATTCTTAACGCGTTGAATAGCGTTAAGTTTATAAGACGTTAAAAGCCAAAAATCATCAAAACGCATTAAAAACGTTTTTGGTTAATTTAATTTTAATGCGCTTAATGTGCTAAAATAATTTAATATAAGATTAAAATGCGTTTTTTCGATAGGCTAATGCATTAAACCATCCATTTTAAATTGTTTTAGCGCATTAAAGGGATGGACACATTAGAAGACTCCCCTTGAACTGATAATGTAAAGTTGAAATAAAAGACCCCTGTATTTTTCAACGTTAAACATATAAATCTTTCAAAAATTCATAAAAAAGTTTTTGAGCTTTCTTTTTTGGGCACAATAGACGTGGGGGGGCGGGGGGGGGGGGGGGGGGGGGGGGGGGGGGGGGGGGGGGGGGGGGGGGGGGGGGGGGGGGGGGGGGGGGGGGG